TAAGCTGGCGAATGGCCACCATATTGACCATGGGCGCGGGCTGATCGGATTTAGTCGGATCAATCATGTAGAGGTCGGTGATGCAGTCGCGCTCGACGTGGTCGGCGAAGAGGTGGTGGATGGCATTCTGGTAAGCGGATCTCACACCCTCCAGCCCGAAGGGATAGGGCTTCGGTGGGTTCTCCATCGGGGCCACGTAATCGGCCAAGCATAGGCTGGTAGCAGGAAGTGGTCGGCGCCACGCCATGCGCCCCTCAGGAGTGGCCGTGATCACCAGATCGGAATCTGGCCGCCTCGAACGATGTGGCCGAGCAGGTCGCTCGGTTGCGGTGGGGTGGTGATCTTGGAGTGCAGAAAATTCATCGCTCGCTCTAGATTGATCTAAGTCCGAATGTGGGACATAGTCCCCGGGTACCCCGCAAGGAAGGGAGAAGATCTAGTCCAACTAGGAATTTCCCACATATAATTCTAGTAACATTGCTATGCTGTAATTCTACTAGAACTCTTATATAGTAACCGACTAGGAGATTTGCCTCCTGGGCTACATAAAGGAGGGCAGGGCTTCCTAGATCGGCACCCAATATGAACAGACATCACGGTAGCTCAGGGCGCAATATACTATTCACCCCACACTGGACGTAGGACGCTATTCCGGCAGACCGAACCAGTATAAATTGTTGTCTCTGCGTTCACCGTCGAGTTCTACATACGCCGAAGCCCACCAACCATCGTCCCGGGTAACCCTGTGACGAGTTGCCGGTCATCAAACACCGATTCGCGTTTGAGAGCTCGACGGACCTCAAGATCATAATCACGTTGCCAGAGGGATCAGCCTTCACTGACTTGCGGTGATTCGACAACTGGACACTCCGGGGCAGCGGCTTGCATCATCAACTGGGCACCTCGTGGCAGTTTGCGGCAATATGAAATACGCGTCGAAAGGCGTTGTCTAAAAAAAAAGTTTGCGGCAATACGCTATCATGCATAGATACGTGGAGTTTATTAATCCACAAGCCGTCAGCCTATGATGACCATCGGCCGTAGCATCGGCTCCAAGTCCGTGGATTCCGATCCGTCGAAGAAGAAAGCCGGCGAATACATCCATGGTGGCATCAACAAACTCCGCCGGATCTGATCTAATCAGAGTACAAGTCGGTCTTCAGCGCCGCCTTCGTCTCCGGCACGCATCAACATAGGAATTTCGAACTCAAGGTTTTAAGCGATCAAGGCATTGATCCACAACGGCACATGGCAAGTTGTATGAAGGAGGACATGCAAGCGAAGACATGTATATGTATACATGCACGTACGTCTCTGACCTGCACGTACAAGGCTTCGGGGTCAGATATCGCGCATACACCATATGCATCTCTGAAGTCAGAATTACGAGCACGCAAACTCGGCATGCAACGCTAGGCGCGTCCTGGCACGATTGAAGCTGTCGCCGGCGGCACGCGGCCGCGACTCCGAGTCGGCAAGCAAGACCACGTCCGAGTCCTCAACAAGAATTAAGGAAGGAGGCGCACACAGCTACGCAGATTTCGACACAACACCACGCGGCGGCACCTTCGAGGTCCCGTTCGCTGGTCTAAAACTTAGCTAAAACTGACTAATTTTATGAGAGAAAAAACACTGTAGTGACTGGTTGATGAACAGTGCACAGCTGGCTGGTCTGGTTTTCCAGACCAGCGAACGCAGCCAGTCACAGAGCAGGAGGCCGTCCGACTACATGAGACTGACTGGCCAAGCAAACTAAGAGCACGTACCCAATCTACAACCTCATGCATGACGACGCAAGCAAGAAGTTATTGGAGCTTTCACGTACACATCTCTATCAATACGAGATACACGTACGTACACGGACGACCGTTTCGACTCGAACACGAGATCAATCTCGTCCGACTACGACTGCGCACTCGTCCGACTATGACTTTGCGCTCCAGTCTGACAGCACCGTCCGCGTCCTAGCTTGAGGCCACCTACGGGAAGATGCTCGTCTACTCGCCAAACTGCGTTAGGTCGGCTGCTGCTTATCTGGTTTCCAACACGAGACCAAGGCACCCTGTCCGGCTGCATCAAGTCGACTAGCCAAGCAAAGCTGCCATGGTTTGCATATACGTGGGAGGAAGACTCATACAGATCAATCGCCGCAATGACTACTTCGGCCCTTAGTCGCTCTTAAAATCTCTTTATATCGAATGTTTAGATACTATTAAGAAGTATTAAGTATAGATTAATTATAAAACCAATTATATAGATGTAGGCTAATTTATGAGACGAATCTATTAAGCTCTAATTAGTTCACGATTTGACAATGTGATGCTACAGTGAATATGTACTAACGATGGATTAATTAGGCTTAATAGATTCGTCTCGTAAATTAGCCTCCATCTATGTAGTTGATTTTATAATTAATCTATATTTAATACTTCTTATTAATATATAAATATTCGATGTGACAGAAATTTTAAAACGACTACAGGAAAAAAAAAAAACCTTCGTCCGCTCGGACTCGACGCTCCAGTCGGAACGGGTTCCGAGTGGTCGACGTGTCAATTGGTCCGGCGTTGCAGCAGCGATCAGGACAGGCGCGCGGCGCCCTGAAGCACGGTGGTCCAAAGTCAGCGCGATTAATAAAGTCAGAGCACTCTTCCCATCTCATCCCGCCCCCATCGCGGTGGGCACGGCGTGGCACACTGCAATATGCCGCCTGCCAGCCCCCCCCTTAGCGTCACGGCCCCACCGCAGGTTCCATTATTGCAGGTGCCATTTTGTTTATGCGCGCTGCGCGCGTATGATGACAGTGCGGAGATCAACAGGAACGGTGAGAACGGAAAGGGTGGCCGTCCGTGCGGTGCGGGTGATCCCGCGGTGACGACAGCGAGCGTCGGGCCGGGGTAGGCACAGATGAATGTCCGGGCGATGCGTCTGCGCGGGCCCCGGCGACAGCCACTTGAGTGTGCTCACCTTTCGCCTTTTGATTGAAATGTCAGCCTTTTCGCCTTTGGATTGAAATGTCAGCTTGTGCGCAAGGGAAATGAAACGATGAAGGAAGAGCTGGCGACGCCGCCTGGAGCTAAGCTACTCTCTTGTTGTTTGTTTGTTCTAATTCTAAGCTGATGAAAAGTGAAAACTCGTCCGTGTGTTCGCCAGAAACGGCCTGCGACATTCGAAACTACTGTACACATTTTGTGGGCATGTTACGAGCTGCATACTGCATTCAGAGATCTCAACGGATAAAACTTGCCTCCTACCAGGACAACCAGACACTCCGCCTCACGTGTGTACGCGTCCGAACCAAGAAACCCGATCGAGGCCAACCCATCCAATTTTCCGCTACGCACAAATCGCACGCCAGCCAATGACGCGAAAAACAAAAGAAATGCCCTTGCTTTCAGTGCCCGGGGCCAAGCGCGCACACAGGACACGGCTAACAATAAGTCAAATCTTTTCTTAACTTTAACCAAGTTTGTACAAAATATATGTATATCTTCAAATAAATATATTATTAAAATATATTTAATGATTTATCTAAAGATATTAATTATATATTATAAATATTAATTTTTTTATATATTTGGTTAAATTTAAGAGTGTTTAGATTCTTGGAAAATGAGAATGACGTCTATTTTGGAACGGACGGAGTACATGATTTCTAGGCGAGCTCGAGTTTGGCCTCGTCTAGTTTTTGTCACGTCTGTTAGTTTGACCCGGCGGCCGGGCGGCCGGCTACCTCGCGCGCGCGCCGGCCAGCGAAACCCGCCGGCACTTTCTCCCGTGCCGGCTTTCAAGGGTTTTATGTTCCCGGGACGGCGTTTCCTTGCTTTGTTTTTGCGGGTTCTCACGGTCAAAGCTCGCCTCGGTTGGATTAGATGGCGACACGGGCTGCTGGTTGGGTGGAATGGAGACGTCTATTCTTTGTTGAGCTGTGTGTGTGCACGAGCGCCCTTGGGTGTCGGTACTCTGCTGTCGTCGTGGCCTCATGGGAAGTCGCGGGATAAGGGGCGGTCAATCCAGAAGAATCCCAGGTTACCTGGCGATATGTTTGGCGAGTCTACAGTCCTTTTCGGTTTGTAGGACTAATAACGTTTAGGCCCTTTAAACACCCCATAAAAATTGTCACGTCCTGTTCGCTTGGCTTATAAGCCGTACTTTTTCAGCCAACGAACAATATTTTTCTCTCACAACAAATCAGCCAACCGTATTTTCAGCCATGACTTATCAGTAAAGGAACACGGCACGAGCCCAGCCCTTTTTCGTTTAGGCCCTTTTACACCCCATATAAAATTGAGCTCGGTGCTTTTTAGGCCCGATCCTTTTGAGTTTGCAGGCCTAATGTTTAGGCCCTTTTAGTACTTAGTATATACTAGTTACACGCTGACCAATCATGAGGGGGCTTTACCATGTGGATATTTCTCCTCATGCTTGGGCCACCAATTCTCTAGGTCGGGCCTAAAATAATTCAGAAAAGATATTCCACCTCATGCTTGGGCCAGCATTTTTCTTGGTCGGGCCTAAAACAATTTACAAAAGAGTTTCAATAAAAAAGGGAGCGTACCTTTCCCATCTCGCAAAGCAAGATCACGGACCAACATCACAACATGAATAGACTTCCTGTCTATACGAGTATTCCTTGCATGTATGATCCATCCTTCAGATGATCCTGGAAGCCTTCAGCCAGGTAGAAATCAGAAACAACTTGAACAACGAAGGGATTCGACACGCAATCAAGTAATATAGTAGCAAATTAAAAATCTACCCAATACCTTTACAATAGATTTCACAACTGCTGTATTAACATGTCAATCGAGCTTCGGTCTCATAAAGACCAACCAATTATTCCGAATCTAACCCACGTTTGGTTCAGTCCCAAGGAAACTTGCTCTGAAAATCACAAAACATGCGCCGTACACAAAATCTTCCGAGAACATCAATCCGGTGACCCTTCTTCACCCATCAGACCGGGCCGGATTGAGGAGGAGATTCTCCTGCCAAACAAGCTAGTTGTAGTAGAGCTCGAGGCCCATGCCATCATGGATCTCGTAGTCGGCGAGGGTGATGTGGTCCTTGTAGATGGTGTACCACTTCTGGATGCGGATCTTGTCGGCGCGCGTCCCCGTCTGCGCCGCCACCAGCCGCTTCAGGTCGCCGATCGTGTCGTCCTCGTTGCACTTGACGCGCACCTTCTTCCCCAGCCGGTCGTTCAGCACCACCTCGATCATCTTCTTCTTCGTCTTCTCTCCCGTCCGCCCTCCTGTCGACGGCGCAACGACGGCGGCGGCTCGCTACGAGGAATTATACGATGCGCGATGCCGTCCGTGCCGTGGGAGGAGGTTTTTATCAGGACTGGTAGATCGGTTCGGGCCTCGGCGCCACCGCCGTAGGTGTGAAACCGCGTACCGGAAACCGGACCAAACCCCATTTTCTCCAAATTGATGGTAGTATATATACACACACACACGGTATGACGGTAACATAGATTTTCTTTCTTCGATCTTACATCAAAAAAAAAAAACGTGTGCCGCAAGAACTCTCCCCGTCTTGGACCAGAAAATTCCGCGAAGAAGACCTGTCACCTGTGTCATGTCCCCCCCGCGGCGTAGCTCGCGCAGTCGCGCTACAACCTGACGAAGTGACGACGTGCGCGCCTACAGAGTAGCAGCCGGCCAGCTGGTGAGCGGACGGTTAGGCGGCCCAGCTATAGCCCAGCGAAAAATGATGGCCTAGTTACGATCTCAGTGGAGGCTCCAGTGTCAAATCGATTTCGGCCTGCAAAAACGTTATTAGAGTGGATTAACGTTGTCGACTGCAAAAAAGGAGTACAGGAAAGAACAGCCCAGAATTTCTCAAAAGAAGAAGAAGAAGGAAAGAACAGCCCAGAACTCATCAAGTCCAATTCTCCGGAACAACCAGGGGCGTTTAGTTCCCATCAAAATCCAAACTTTGGCACTATGCAAAAAGAAGATTCCCCGTTACATCAAACTTACGGTACATGCATGGAGTACTAAATATTGACGAAATCAAAAACTAATTGCACAGTTTGGTCGTACTTTGCGAGACAAATATTTTGAGCATAATTAGTCAACGATTGGACAATAATTCACAAATACAAACGAAACGCTATAATGTGCTACAGTGCTGACACAATGATTTTGATTGTCCAAAATCGAGCAACTAAACAAGGGCCAAGAGAGAGAGAAGAGTACCACACGAAAGAACAGTCAGAGAACTCATGACGAATTTTTTACTCCCTTGCGTCGAACATGTCTGGAGGCCAAGTTTTGCTTCTGACAGCGAGGGGGTTGACTACTGCAGTGTTGAAAGTTCGATTTTCACATCTCATGTTTGATTTCTACAAATACTAGAGCTGCTCTCAGCCCAGTAAAATTTATATGAAAAAGCAGGAAGAGCAAAACAATTTAAAATGCACCACCAGAACAATACAAAAATATACCACGTACAATGATTAAATATATTTTGAACAATAACTTTGTAGCTAGAACATTTCAAAATATGGAAAGAACAATACTTTTTTACAATTGGAATAATTTGGAAATATAAAACAGAATAATTCAAAATGTACCACGGAACACTATATTTTCACATCTCCAAAAATCAAATATAATGTGAAATAAAAAATGACATTGTTATAGATAGTGCAAAAAAATACCACTATACAGTATAAAATTTACAACATGATTTCCACGCAATACAATAATAGGACAATGCAAAATATACCACACAATATAGAATTCCACCATTGGAGCAATTCAAAATGAATTATAGAGCAACAAATATTTTTTAAAATAAAGTACACATTAGACGCTCATAAACATATATACACACACGTGCAGACTCACCCCAATGAACACATGTGAGCATACACTATTCCTATGAGCACCTCTAAGAAACTGAGCGTGGGTTTGCACCCAATAAAAATATAATTTGGAGAAAGAATATATCGACATGAGATCCGATGGAAAAAGTAAAATGGAAGAAGGAAATGGACATGAAAGGAAAAGGCCAGGGGAATTGAAAAGAAACAAAAAGAAAGAAGGAATGGAAGAAAAACTATAAAGCTTCAACATCCCTATTGAGCCTACAATTGTGCACTTGTGGATGCTTTCCTCCCAAAAAAAGAGCATATCTCATAGTACCATTATTGAACATCCTATGGTAAAAAAGTAAGGTTTATGGATAAAAAGATTTTCTCCAATGGTGCTCCTAACCAACATCCTAAAATTAGTGACAGCCTAAATCATTCCCCTTGTACCTAAATTTGAACCACTCCCCCATATACCCTATATTTTGAATATGAGATTGAGATTTAGTGGGGATTATTGCAGGAGAAATGATTTAGGGTGGATAAAGAAAAGATCGTGTTATCAATGTACTAGAGTTAGGGTACACATGAAACTTAGAATGGTTGGCCAGGTTCTATCGAATTGTTTGGGGGAAAATGGTGGACCAACCATGCCTAATCAAAAGCAAGATCGGCTACTCGACACTAGATGTCATTGAAAGCATCTCATATCTAATATTATCTAGCTACTAACTATTAGTTACCTATTTGCTAGAGGGTGTTTAGATACACAACTAATAAAAAATGCTACGAGATAATTATTAGCTACTATTATCTGATTTGGATCAATTAGTGAGATGGTTATTATCTAGAGATCTAGCTAACAATTAGCTATTTTATTAGCTGCATCTGTTTAGATCCAAAAGAGATAACTATTAGCAGATAGCTATTATCTATAGGGATCCAAATAGGGCTTAAATCACCATCATGTGGAGAGTTATTTGCATAAAAATCGTTTTCGATGTCTTTCCACTTTTCAAAAGTTTTTCTATATCTTGTGTATACTCTAGAGAACCATTCTCATTTTTTATTTTTAGCTAGCAAAAAATTCGGAATAGAATATGGCTATATTTAGGTAACCAGTTAAAGAAGCTGTTGGAGGGTATTTTTTCATCGAAATCTTTATTCCTAGCAATTAGGGAGGATGTAGAGATTCTCTAGGAGTTGCTCTAAGATATAGGTAGAAACTTGTTTTCCAAAGATAAAATGGCGCAAATTGACAAAATCTGAGCTCTTTGTGGTAAGAGGCAAAAGGACTATCTACAAATTCACCATAATAGGTGCAAACCTGCGAGTAACAAGTTCACACAAAAATTGACAATTTTGTGATTTCCCCTCCCCTCTTGTGTTTCTTCTCTTCTTTTGTTTCTTGAGAACTCCTGAACTCCCTTGTACTTCCTTTTGTTTCTCGTAAAAAAAACTCCTCTCAATGAAAAACGTGACTATGCACAGTTGTGAAAAAAATAGCAAACTCCAATATATGTGGAAAATCTTAATCTTGATCTAATAAGCCCCCCTATAGAAATCTCCTAACAGTCCAACAAGGTTCGTGAAAACCTGTTTAGATGAACTTAAGTTGTTCATCTAGCACATCATTACATTTTTTTTTCCGTAACACAAAGATGAGGACGACGACATGAACGCAGAGCAGGGAATCTAGACGGCACCGGCGCTGCCGCTGCGAGTCGTTCGAAACAATTTAACGTGCCGTCTCACCTAACACTGGTCCACTCTTTCCCGGTTTTGCTGGGCAAAAAGCTTCCGTTTCGACGAGCGACGGGGAACGGTCGCGCGCGGAGCCGCGCGGGGTGACGCCGGGGTCTGCTTGCCGTTCTTGTGGGCTTCTGTCTGCATCGTGCGGTCCTGCCAACGCAAGGCGCGTCCCATGCAAGCTTAACGCTTCAGGCCTGCGCATGTAGCCAGCCATGCATGGAGCTCAAATCGTGTGATGCTAGCTGTAGCAGTGCTCCACTAGTTTAACCGCTAGCGGCATTCTGAGGATTATGCAGCTGGCTCACACTATATAGTTTTGATTATCTTTTTGCACAGAAAAGGTACCAAATTAATCACAGAAAAGAATATTCTTTTACCGCCTCTTCGTGTACAACAGCATGCAGTTCTCCTATGCCTTTTTTTATGGGCTTCTCTCTATAGTCTTATGCATTTAAAGATTCACACAAAGAAAAAAAGATACCTTCTACTCACTCTGTTCTAAATTATACGTCCTCTATCTCAAGTTATAATATGTTTTGAGCTTTATATATATATAGTTTTTGTTATGCACTTAGATATATATTATATCTAGATACATATGAAAAGATAAAATATGGAACACAGGGACATAAGTCATTTTTAGCTTTTCTAAATATATAGATTTTACGATGTATCTAGACATAAAATACCTGGAATCCGTTTATAGAGGACATAAGTTATTTTAGCTTTTCTAAATATATATCCTATCCGATTTTGACACTATCGATGTATCTAGAAAATAAATGTAATATCAGTGATATCCGTCCGTATCCGATCCGTTTTCATCCCTACCTAGGTGCATAGAAAAAACTATATATATCTTTGAGGGAGTACACTATAAAATAAATAAAACCAATCTAATAAAAACTATATGTTTTTATTAAAAAAACAGATAATAAAATTTGAGTCGAAAGACAACTCAAACCTGGGTGTGGTTGGTGACAGCCAGACTTCTCACCCCAACAGTAAAGCTAGCTCTATAAAAGACCACCTCCGCCACCTCAAAATTCACGGTAGCCAGATCCAGAAGTGAGTGACAGGCTCAAACACAAACCAGAAGAAAGGTGCTTAGTGAGTTAACCCGTACGATGTCGCTGGAAGAAAGTTTCAAGAAGAGCGCAGCCAAGTGCCGCAAGGAATATGACATTATTTACGAGCAGGTAATCATCGGCTGGTTGGTCACTTAATTAAAACCTGCTTCACTACGGTTGATTGAATAATTAATAGTACGACTTCAAGATAGAACGGCAAAGAATTGAGAATACTAATCTCCATATCTGTTTCTCTGTGCCATGCACACGCAGCTCCCAGTGCTGCTAGAGAAGATGGACATTCTATTTCCTACGGGGAAGAAGACGGAAAGCTCCGAGCCGGAGGTAGGCAAATCATCATCTTCTTCTTCTTTTTCTTTTTCTTTTTACTTTCCCAGCGGTCACTGTGAACCAGAAACACACAGCAGATGCCCTACGCTAAATAATATATACGAAGGTCATTATATATCTAAAAAAAAAAAAAATCGTACGTAGTAGGCAACGCTGCAACTGAGTATAATCTACTAATCTATCTCAACTGGATCTTCTTCCTTGCTTCTCTCAGAACAAATCTGAA